GGACTCGTGTTGAGTCTGAGGACCTCACCAAAAATTCGGGAACTCTTTCCTTATCATAATGATAAGAGTGAGTTTTCTTAGACGTTTTCTTCTGCTAAATTCGTAATCCAGTTTAGACTCATCCAACGTCATGATTAATCAAATCAGATCATCTGCGCTGTCATCCAACGATGAGTCTAATCAGATCCTCTGCGCTGTCATCCAACGATGAAGCTAATCAGATCCTCTGCGCAGAATGTCATCCAAAATGAATCTAATCAGATCCTCTGCGCTGTCATCCAACGATGAGCTCTAATCAGATCCTCTGCGCTGTCATCCAACGATGAATCTAATCAGATCCTCTGCGCTGTCATCCAACGATGAGTCTAATCAGATCCTCTGCGCTGTCATCCAACGATGAGTCTAATCAGATCCTCTGCGCTGTCATCCAACGATGAATCTAATCAGATCCATCTGCGCTGTCATCCAACGATGCCTCTAATCAGATCCTCTGCGCTGTCATCCAACGATGAGTCTTCGCAGATCCTCTGCGCTGTCATCCAACGATGAGTCTAAAGACCCTCTGCGCTGTCATCCAACGATGAGTCTAATCAGATCCTCTGCGCTGTCATCCAACGATGAGTCTAATCAGATCCTCTGCGCTGTCCAAAGATTGACACATAAACACTCTTAACTGCACGAATTGGAGTTTCGGGTGCAAACGGCAAATAGTTCAGCATGCTGTTCTCAAATTTTTGGCTGAGTGTATTTCGTCATGGTGCACATTTTTCTCACAGACGGTACCCAACTGACATACTATAATGTGCAGTCGACAAATCCAAAAACAACGCGCTTGCGCAATATTAAAAACATAACTGTAGGCGCTTTTCGTAACGTACCCTGAATATATATATATATATATATATATATATATATATATATATATATATATGGGAAAACAATATATATTTTTTTCGTCGCATTTGCCTATTTACAGAACTTTTCTGCGGTTATTGATTTGCTAGAATTTGAAATTGCGTAATCTGAAAGGTGTAAGAAAATGAATATATATATATATATATATATATGTGTGTGTGTGTGTGTGTGTGTGTGTGTGTGCGTGTGTGTGTGTGTGTGTGTGCATTTGTAGAATTAAATAAAATAATAGAAGAAGGTCAATGGGGGCATATTCCAGAAGATGTTAGATTAATTGCCATCATTGAAATATTTAAGAAGAGAATTACTTCTGTGACTGGATGTAATCATAAGCTCACTTCTTTTGTTCAGCAGATTATCATTATCGATAGTTCTTTTTCTTAAGAGGCACAGAGTACATTTTTCTATGTTGAGGTTAAAAGGTTTGGTATTAGAGATGTGGTCCCAATTAACTACAGGTGTATTGTTATTTGTTTTAATTTCCCAGAAAAAATCCGAGAGTACTGTAGTATTTGAATATTGTGTCGGGGTATCACCTTATGGTGGTAATACTAGTTTTCCAGTGGTTAGCCGTGGAACCAAAATAAAATTAATCTCGCTATTATGCTCAATGCTAGCTTTGTAAATAACGCCTTTATTGTTGCATGTAGAATTTAGTGAGCAGGTAATATTCTTCTGACAATTACAATTTTGTTGGTATTATTATTGCTATTGAAGTAGTATAAATATTTGACTAATATTTAATTATTATGCTGCGCTATATACTGTTCAAGGATTTTTTGTACAGCTATAAGTAATTGTAATGTATGTTTATTTTTTGATATCTACCTACCAAAACACAACATTTTGAATGTATACACCAATTCTGTATTATATTTATAAGCATCTTGAACTTTGTATCCTGATACAATATAGCGTTGCTCTCACGTGACTAGAAATTAAAAAAAAAACCTCCGCATTGAACAGTTTATAACTGTTTGTACCAGATGAATGGTAAAATCATGAAACTCAGAATCGTACTGTAAATGTAGGTATATGTGTAATTATTAATATATACGTTACAACTCTGTTTAACTATGTTGAGCACTATTTTGATTACACCATTAAAGAAATAAATAGTCATTTTCTCACCTGTATGTATACGTAATCGCTCACATATATTGTTTAATATTTCTTTTATTGAGATCATTTCTACATCTATCTATCTATCTATCTATCTATCTATATAACTATCATATATATATATATATATATATATATATATATATATATATATATATATATATATATATATTGTAAATTCATGAATCATTCAAACAAGGTCTTTTTAAGAACAAAATCTATTTCTATACCTGAGGATGTCTGTAGGAACAGACGAAAGCTTGTAAAAGACCTTATGAAACTGGAATTTATAAACAGGGATCATATCATTCATATACAGGTTCGGGGTTAGTGTATTTTATGTATATTGTTTGCGAAGATGTATTCTCGCCATTTAAATCATTAATCTCTATATTTGTTATTGTATGAATGATTCATGAATTTATAAATTATAATTTGCACCTTTAATTGAACTCACACTCTGTCCTTGAGGACACATTGCACAGTGGATAAAGGCGTTGGTTAGATCCAGTGACAGAACCTAAAGAGTGTGAGTTCAATACCCAGTTAAGGCAGAGAACTTTCAGAAGGAAATTAACAGGAGATAATTAATAACTGACATCCATTAAACATGGCACGTGGAACTAGAACAGTCTACCCCAGTGAGTGAAATAAAAGGTTAAGTTTGACATTCCAACCACCTGAAGAAGGCCGGAGCGTACAACAGCCGAAACGTTGTAATAAATATGGCGACAAAGATGAGGACAATAGTCCGAATAATGTAAATAATGTTGATCTTTATCATATCCATTCTTTTTTAATGACACTAAAAGGTCTTTTTTTTTTCATTTCTGGGATGGAATGTTTTCACTCTGTCAAATTCATTCTGTTGGTCTCTTTAAATTTTTGAACTGCAGGGTACATAAAAACATGGCTGGCAGCTTTTATCCGTGGATGACAGTCTATTAGTGCAGCTAGACAATTTCTGTTCCAGACGTCTGCTCAACCACATTTGTCTTTATTCAACAGTCACAAACACTACTTGTGTTATTGGAATATTTCTTATTTTCATTTTTTTCTTTCTCTTAAATTTTTCATTTCTTTCATCTTTTGTTTAGTTATTTTATTTATTTAGTTAGCTAGTTTTTTCCCTCGAATTATTCATTTTAATACCAAATACTTCACATATACATTTTTTTGATAATTTTACCTGATTACTAAAGAATTATTAAGGTGTAGGGATTTAATGACATAATAATGTTCTTCTCCATTTAAATTCCCAATGGAAAATGAGTGTACTCCTCTAACTGAACTGACCCCGCCATGCAAAGAATGGGACTTAATGGATTACCTGACTTATTGGTTTTAGATAACCCATATAGGCGTGAACAGAGAGATCCAAACTGCCTAATCATACTGGCTATATCAGAGGGAAAAACGCTACTTTTTACCCAATTCACTCGTTGTTTTTGGAATTTAGTTTCCAAGTTAGCTGTTGAATAATGTCTATCAACAGCACCTAACTTGAAAAATTTTGATGTTTCATTCAAAATGACCATCATTTTATCTACATAATCACTATGATTTAACGCAGCCATTCCTGATCCTTTGCCTGGTATAGTGATTACTAAAGACTTATCGAGGTGTAGGGATTTAATGATAGAATAATATCCCTCCCCTCCATGTAAATTCCCAATGAGAAATGGCTGTACTCGCATAAGTGTGTGCAAGATAATTCAATCTAGCTGTATCTTCCCTAACTTTGGTATCAGAAAACCAAATCTTTTGTATATTAAGTGATGCAATTTATTGCGAAATCGATGTATTTTTTTATTTTTATTTTGAGGTTGCTCCACAAACTCTGATGATTTGGGAACGTTCTAAATTTGTCTTCTCATAAATGGTTTTCAGTTGAACGTACAATACTTGGCCATGGATTGGAATTGTCTATTTCACCCACCTGTATTAAACGTGAAGAAATTTTCTAAGAATTTAAAATTCTCAATGCTCAAATCGCGATATTTCAACCTGTTTCTGATTCTAAAGTTAGGGACCTTAAAGCTAGATTGAATGATCTTGCTCAAAGTTATGTGGGTACACCCATTTTGAATTTAAATGGCGGAAAGAACATCATTCTGTTACTAAATCTCTACGATTCAATAAATCTTTAGTAATCATTAGACCTGACAAAGTTGTTGCAACATTGTACCAATCCATTTAGCAACCTTATGTTGAACTGAGCTCACCATAGAAAGAATGGATCTTAATGGTATACCTGCCATCTGTGTTTTAGGTAACCCATATAGGTGTGAACAGATAGAGAAAACCCGCTTAATCTTACTGGCTATATCAGAGGGGAAGACACTTTTATCCGCTTCCGTTTTTGGAATTTCGTTTCCAAGTTAGTTGTTGAATCATGGCTATCAACAGGACCTAACTTGAAACATTTTGATGTCTCATTCAAAATGACCATTTTATCTATATAATCACTATGATTTAACGCAGCCATTTCTGAAACTTTGCTTGGTATAGTGATTACTAAAGACTTATAGAGTTTTAGGGATTTAATGTCAGAATAATGTTCCTCTCTTCTATTTAAATTCCCAATGGGAAATGGGGGTACTCTAACTTTAAGGTCCCTAAATTTTGATATCAGAAACTGGTTGAAGTCTCGCTATTTGAGCATTAAGATTTTCAGATTTTGAGCAAATTTATTCCCGTTTAATACAAGATGGTGGAATAGATAATTCCAACCCATGACCAAGTATTGTATTTTCTTCTGATAACAAGACAAATTTAGGACGTTCTGAATCACATCAGTGTTTGTGGAGCAAGCAAATCCTTTATATATTAATTAATATATATTTATATATTAAGTGTTGCAATTTCCAGCGAAACTGAAACGACAATTTATTTTTTGTTTTTTTGGCAACTGCGATCATGAATAATTGCAGCATAGCGTGGAAAACGAAATTTGTCACGCCATGGATGTATGTCCACTGATAACGTCCTTGTCTTTCTTTTCTCTCTTCTTTTTCCCTCGAATTATTTATTTTGATTCCAAATACTTCAAATATTCATTTTTTTTTAAGTACGTCTTAGATTTTTTTACCTGCATAAAAAAAAAATGTTTCAATTTTCTTATTTTTTTCTGACAAATTCTTAAGAAAAATAAGCGTCAATCTTTAGAAATATTTTTTTTGCTTTTGTTTCCTGGATATGAATTGAAATCTTTCATTTTAAAAAAATTTTGCCTATCCGATTTTTCCCTTGATTCGCAAAACCTATCAACAACCAATGAAATTGTGTCTATCTATCTATCTATATATATATATATATATATATATATATATATATATATATATATATATAGAGAGAGAGAGAGAGAGAGAGAGTGAGAGAGAGAGAGAGAGACAAAGAAGATATAGGAGCCAAGCAAACATACCGAGGTTTCACCTAAACAGATTGTCAGGGAGATGCCGGTATCGCCCTGATGACCCGTTTAGGTGAAACCTAGATAGGTTTGCCTGGCTCCTTAGGATTATCTTAAGTTTTGCTCTACTTCGTGTATTGAGAACTTTACGTAGTTGTCTTTTACTCATTTTGGTCTTTCTTCTTTAGGTTTGGAGTTTAAACACTTAACGATTGTTTTCGCCTTATTTTAATGCTCTTGGTTCTTTCTCTTTTTTAATTCTCCTTTTTCCCTTGGGTACCGATTTGTTCTACTGCAAGTCGAACTATCCCAGATTTTTCCAAGCGAGGGCCAACATGTATTAGGTTGGGGCAAAAATAATGTCGTTTTTGACGTTCAACTTACCGTCAAAAAAAACGACATGATGTTTGCACCAACAACCTAATATATATATATATATATATATATATATATATATATATATGCAAATTTCTCAGATTTAACCTGTATAAAAAGATAATATCTATAAATATAAATGACAAGAGGAAAACCGTAATAGTTGCCGACGCGTTTCGTCCAATGTGTATTTCTCAAAGCCAAAAACGAAATGAATTTATTTAAAATAACGTAACTAATAAAATAAAAAAAATTTAAAAATAAAGTAACTAATAATAACAAAAACAAAATTTCCTATTGTCATTTATATATATATATATATATATATATATATATATATATATATATATATATAATTTCATAAATGTTTTGAAACATTTTCATCAATGTGACATAGGGTTTATGAATACAAGTGCTGTACTATATTGGCGGTTAGGTCTCATCATTTTAGAGTGGTGTAAATGCCTAAATGTAACCGTAAGTTCCATGCTAACAATTTCTTCATTTATATATTCTTACTTTCCGGTAACAATTATTCAAAAATTAGGAAAAATAAAAATCTCAAATTGTCTGACACGGACAGCTGTACGTAAAATCTAAAATACCGACGGATATTTTAATGGTAATTATACTAGTAATCTTTCCACTACGATACCTAGACTTTAAGTTCAGTACTAGATTGTCGGTAAGGTCTCGTTATTTTGTATTTTAAACGGCTAGATGTAACTGTTAGTTATATGCTAACAGTTTTTTACCCTCGCATTTCTCGCTGGGGTAACAAATTTCCGGCTTCAAATTTGATCTTCATCAATATAAATAAAATGTCAAATTTATCTTCTGTCTTCATAATTTCTATTCTTTTATTGTATTCTCTCTTTAATCGTATATTTCTCTAATATTCTGAAACAATCAGTAACCGCCTTGCGTCTTAGTGACATTATTGCCTTGCTTAGGGTGAAATGATTTTACACACACACACACACACGCACGCACACACACACACACACACATATATATATATATATATATATATATATATATATATATATATATATATATATATAACGGACTCTCCCGACGGTTTCGACGTATGAGGATCTGATAGCTTATTGATTCAATTTATGAAAGTTTGTGCGATAATCTTATGGTATTTAAGACCCGCTAGTGATTTACAAAGGAGGCCACATATGGAGCAAGTGTGAGGATTGTGAAATGAGATTACTGTAAGATTGGTTGACATTTTAGATCTTGCTCTCGTTTCTTGAAGATGATTGAGACAAGCAGATTGATAATTGCTGAGTCTACTAAAACATTCATTAAAAACATCTCCATCCTATCCGCCCCAAAGCTAAGCGCTCAAGGGTGTTATGTGGTATATTGACAGCTGACAAGTTGCTTTTCAGCTTGTCATTTTATCTTAGCCATGGGCGTCCTACATTCCTGTAGCCCTGATCTAAATGGCTGTACATTAGAATCTATATATGAATGTGTACGTGCACCATTATTTGCCCGTAGCACATCAAGACGATACTCGATTTTTGGACATGCACTCTGTATGGGCTGACGATAGCCGCGCAGAGAACGGCTTGAAATAGACTATCTCTATGTTGAGGTAATTTATTTTGCTGTAAAAAATACATATGCTCTTTTAAAATAAAAATATCGAACTCTCTGTGGATCAGTTTTAATAATTAATATTACTAGGAACCACTCGGATTATATACCAACCAATCGATTACCTGTACTATATATATATACACAAATAAAAGAAGATCATCATTGGTCATTATTACAATAGCCTTCTATTTTATTATGCAAGTTAATATTTTCACTTTAAACTAGTATTATCAAACCGATCTTTGAAAAAAAAATAACAGCAGAAACTTTATTTTATCAATTCCTATTCAAATATTGATAAGAACATGTTTTGCGGTTGCCAGGTGTTATGTTACCGAATTAGGTGCAACTTGAAATATGTATTTAAAAATAAAATATATGAACCGGGAACAAAGAAAACAGACTTCGATTCCACTTCTACTGTGGCTCTTCCAAGACGTGTACAATGATATCCCTTTGAACTTTAGAAATATTCGTCGTTTTAAATAAACCTTCTGCTTTCCATTCGACCATCTATTTATACAATCTCCCCTTTAGGTAGGAAACTCTCTGCTTTCCTCCAACTTTTTCGCCTTCATCGTGCCATGTGAGTATTATATTTTCCAAGCCCCCTTTTCTTATTAATACCATCTGTCGCTTTCTAATTCTATGTAAAAGTGTCTTTTTATTAGTGTCTCCATTTTCCATAAAAGTCGCTTCCATGCTCTCCCCATGTTATTCTCAACAGTCTTAACCGGTTTCCTTACGATCATCGAAGTTAAGCAACGCCAAGCCCGGTTAGTACCAAGATGGGTAGCCGCTTTGTAACCCATCTAGATACTAGGTTCTGTAAGGTTACAAGGTCACCTATATAGGTATTAGGTTCTCTAAGGTTACAAGGACACCCACCTAGGTACTATGTTCTGTAATGTTACAAGGTCACCTATCTAGGTACTATGTTCTGTAAGGTTACAAGGTCACCCATCTAGGAATTAGGTTCTGTAAGGTTACAAGGTCACCCATCTATGTACTATGTTCTGTAATGTTACAAGGTCACCCATCTAGGTACTATGTTCTGTAATGTTAAAAGGTCACCAATTTAGGTACTAGGCTCTGTACGGTTACAAGATCACCCATCTAGGAATTAGGTTCTGTAAGGTTACAAGGTCACCTATCTAGGTACTAGGTTCTGTACGGTTACAAGGTCACCCATCTAGGCACTAGGTTCTGTAAGGCTGGATGTGCGGTTGGTGTAATGGATAATTTCTCGGTATTGTTAATCGGGGAGCCGAGTTCCAAATCCAGTTGGGTTTGTTATATTCATTTACGCACAAATTTTTTGGGCAAGATACGAATCCAAGTCTTTTCCCACCAGCTATGGATTAATTAGTAAGACTTCTATCTTTAAAACTATTATTATCACCAAAATGAAAAAACAAAGAATTAAATTTCGACAATAAATAACACATAAATAAAAAAAATCTCATCACTATTTTATAAACATATTTCTTTTTTTTTCTTCATCTGTAAAATATTATCCAACATTCACTGTCATATAGCATGATTGATATTGAAACTTCAGCACTGTTTTCTTTTTGAAACCAAAAATTCCCTGTTTTTTAATATAATGTATAGATTTTAAAAGGCATCTTTTGCTGTCACATCTTCAGATTTCTGTGTTATAATTTCTGTTAAAACACTTATAACAAGTATATTACTAAATAAGCACATTGTCTGGGGGGTGGGGAAGAAATAATTTAATCAAGCTGGTATTAGCATTTCGTACGCGAATGTACCTCAGGCTGTTTTGGCTGATTATTTACATGAAGAACCTAAAATCTATATCAGTCATCATGCCCATCCAATGTAGCTCTACATTCATCGGTAAAATTAGCGTGCATGTTTCTCTTTTAGACGTTGACATAAATGTGGGAAGTTGAATGCTTTCCTTCCCGTATCCAGTACCTATACCCGGCCTGTCGCCTGGGGCTTCAGAATACGCTGACTGCACCTCTACAGAAGGGTAAGACACCCCACAAATGAGGATTCCTTGCTAAGACAATAAACTGCATCTGCGTTCTGGGTAAGTCATAACGTCCAACATCAAGAGGTCTTGAGGAGCGGGGACCCAACTCTTAATTGCCGGTGTTACTAGGTCCACACTGACCCGGGATAGTATCACCTGTTAGAGGGTCCCAACTATGGGTAAATAGTTAACCCCCAAACTGGGATCCAAACACTATGAAAGTGTAAAACTAGGTTTTAATACCAGAAATATATTTTTGAACAAAATAATTATTACCAGTAATATATTATTACCAGTAAAACATTTTGAAGGTAAAATATTACCAGCAGTACATTTTTGAAGAAAAATATTACCAGCAATACATGTTTGGAAAAATATTAACAGCAATAAAAAAAAAATCTTGTCGGAATTAAATAACCTATTGAGGTTGATATACCGTAAAACAAACCAAACCAATACCCTATTTTAAATATTGTGCATCTATTTTATTGTTTAACTTCACATTCAGATGTGGCAGAAAATATTCAATGCACGGGCAAATGGCAGATATATAAATATTTAAATGGCTACTACCAAGGAAGATTGTTTTGATTTGTGTTAATGCATATCAACTTTTTATGGGTCATTTAATTCCGATATTTTTGTTTGTTTAGGCATATCAACACATTATGGGTGATTTAATGCCGAAATTTAGTTTTCTTGGGGGGCATTAGTAATTTCTATTACAAGCATGTATTGCTGGGCTAGGAATACCTTTTCTTTTTCAAAAATGTATTGCTGCTATTAAAAACTATATTAATGTTTTGACCCCAGTATGTGGGTTAACTATTTGTCTATAACTGGGAACCCAACAGGTGCTACCACTCCGGATCTGGGCGGACCTGAGAACACCAGCACTTAAGAGGTGGTTTGACGCTCGTCAAAACCTCCTGATCAGAGGCCTCCCCCCCCCCGGGTGTAGTTCATCATCTTACCCAGGACGCACGACACAGTCAATCAATTTTCCTGGCAGCAGAATAGGCAGTTAATTCAATATAATCGTGTCAATCAATTGACCCCAGTATATGGGTTAACTATTTGCCTATAACTTGGACCCCAACTGGTGTTACAACTCTGGCTCAGGGCGGACCTGAGGACAACAGGTGCTTCGACGTTCCTCAAAACTTCCTTATCAGAGGCTTTGCTGCCGGATGTAGTTCATCGTTTTACCCAGGACGCACGACACATTGAACCAATTTCCCTGGCAGGAGAATAAACAGTTAATTCAATATAATATTTCCACTACAACTCAGTGGATAACGTGAGACCAAGTAGGCGCAATGAGTAACTCTGCAGGAGTTTAGCATTAGCCATGTTGATTCAAGTAAAAAGAAAAGATTATCTACGTTGTTTATTTTCCCAATTCAAGGTTCTTTTCTGCTGATACTCTGGCATTAATTTTCAAACCAAATCAGCAAAATATTCGACATCTTTTTAAAAAAAAAACAACAACAAAAAACTGCCAGATGAAATAGCGGGGTGCTTTGAAAATGCGACATTCGTGGCTATATCTGGTTCAGATCTTGAAATATTAGCACGATACGCCAGCTTACCAACTGAAAAGTTTACAGTGTAAATGAAAGATGACATCTCCCGACGTTTATAAAGATTGCAGAACGATGAGAAAATATTGATAATATTTTTTTTTTCAAATTGAAATCGAGAAAAGATAACATTAGTAAATACTAATATATATATATATATATATATATATATATATATATATATATATATATATATATATATATATATATATATATATATGAATATATATATATATATATATATAATATATATATATATATATATATATATATATATATATATATATATATATATATATATATATATATATATATATATATATATATATATATATATATATATATATATATATATATATATATATAATGCGTAGGCAATCATATACACACATATTTTGTTTTAATATTATTTTCAAGTCAACAAGAAAAAAAATTGTGTCTGGTGATAAAATTTTGAAACCTGCCAAGTTATATCGATATTTAGACTGACTCGATAAATATGATAGACAAACAAATCGAAGAAAATTAATGTAGAAATTTTGTGATGTACTATCTTTCAGACTGGGTAGTGCTTGCCTTCAATGGATATCAGAAGACAGAATAGTGACGAGAACTTGTTTTCCAACACCGTCCATTACAGTTGTACATGATTAAGTAAATAAAAATCATATTCGGTAAACATTTCTATATATCAGATATACTCACGAAATCCTAATTTTGATGCTAATTTTAAGGGGGTCGTATCATTCATGAGATATAAAATTATATATTATATGATATATCTCGCGATCAGAGGCCTTGTTGCCGGATGTAATTTATCGTCATATAATAAAAGACATGTAATTTCTATTTGTTCTTGTGGCCTTTCTGACACCAAAAATGGGCTACAACTAAGAAATGCTTGCGAACCACTGTCTAGTGTCTGTCGACAACGCATTTGCTGGTTGGGAACAAAGACAATAAGGGAAAAACGTACGAAAGCAGGTGGAGACAAAAAGTGAAGATGTTGCGATGCGTTTAATTAAATTCTTTATGAATAAAAAGAGCATTAGAAAGATAGAGAGGTTGTAAAAGAAAATATTAGGTTGGTGCAAAAATAATGACGTAATAATGTCGTTTTTTGACGTATTTTTTTAACGTCAAAAAAAGACATTATTACGGCAATATTTTTTGCACCAACTTAATACTTGTAGGCAATATTTCTATATATGAATGAGCAACGAAGTTTGGAAGGGATAAGGGTGAGAATGAGAAGACACAGAAAAAAGTGAAAGAAGAACTGAGAAATGAAATAAGGGATAATTTTAGTTGTCAGCACCAATTTAATTTCCATGGAATTGGCTCGCAGTAAATTTACTACTATTGCTACCCGATTCTAGACAGTTAAAACGTATCTGGAAAAATAGAGACCATTTTTTTTTTTAGGGTTGATGTTTTTTAAGGCTTTAAATAACATTCAAGGGGTTGATAAACCGCATGAAACTAATCCATCAACTGGAAAAGAGAGGTAATTTGAATGAGATATGTTCTCTGGAATATAATATATAATATAAATATATAGAAACTACAGTGGTCTTAAAATGAGGGATCAGTTTACATCAGATTGTAATATAGAATTGAACCCCTACTTTATACCCACATTATTAGGTATGCAAACACATCTTCTCCCCCAGCTATTGGTAAATGAGTACGGCTCTTAACCCTAAATCATTATTATCTCAAAAATATTCACACAAACTAAAAATATTTTCTGGTTTTAAATAATCTACAAAGGGGTCATAAGCCGTAAAAAACGAATCAATCATTTAATCACTCTACATCTGGAAAAGGGAGATACTTTGAATGAGATCTGGTCTCTGAAATATAAAGTTATAGAAACTACGGTGGTCAAAAAGTGAGGGATCAGTTTATATATTGATTGTAACATAGAATTGAACCCCCACTTTATATCCAAATTATACGTTCGTGTTTTTAACAAAATTCTCATTAGGTCTGTATCCACATCTATTCCTCCCCCAGCTATGGGTTAAGGAGTACGACATGTAACAGTAAATAGTTATCACAATTCTCACAATCTTTAATATTTTCGTGTTTTAAATACCCTACAAAGGCTTGATAAGCCGTAAAAAACGAGCCAATCCATCTATCTATCTATCTATCTATCTATCTATCTATCTATCTATCTATCTATCTATGTATCTATCTATCTATCTATTATCCCCATTCCGTTCTGCTGTCTATTTATACAAAGTCGTTAGAAATGTTCGAGTTGCTTATAATTGTCCTTTGAGTGTCGAATTCGCATAGCCTTTTTCCTCATCATGTGTCTCAGAAATTTATATTATATCTGGTTCTTAAGTAGAAGCCACTTATTTCTATTCGTTTTCCTAAAAACTTCGTCGTTTAGTATTCTCAGATATCAGAGGACGTATTAGTAACCTGAGTCATGTGGTGATAATAATTCGACATCTTAGAAATTTCGCCAAAATTTACCGCCATATATTGAGATTGGTCCTCGGGCAATACGAGACTACGGAATAAAATTCTTAGGTTTGAATGCCTTTTGTTAGCGTTGTGTGGAGAATAGCAATTTAGAAAACTGTAAAATTCAGAAGGTAAGAATTATTCAGCTTTGTCGCCAGGAGCACAATTTAACTGCGAAAAAATCGAAAGAAATCTAAACTTCATTTACACTGTTTGTAAATTACACTGCTGTCCTCATCTTTATTCACGACGTTTAGACCGTTGTACGCTTCGGCCTTCTTCTATATCTGTCTATATTTCTGAGATGAGGTATTGTAATTATTTACACTATTTACATTGTTCGGACTGTTGTCCTCATCTTCGTTCCCATATTCACGACGTTTAGACCGTTGTACGCTCCGGCCTTCTTCTATATCTGTCTATATTTCTGAGATGAGGTATTGTAATTATTTACCCTATTTACATTGTTCGGACTGTTGTCGTTATCTTCGTTGCCATATTCACGACGTTTAGACCGTTGTACGCTCCGGCCTTCTTCTATATCTGTCTATATTTCTGAGATGAGGTATTGTAATTATTTACACTATTTACATTATTCGGACTGTTGTCGTTATCTTCGTTGCCATATTCACGACGTTTAGACCGTTGTACGCTTCGGCCTTCTTCTATATCTGAATATATTTCTGTGATAAAGGATTGTAACTATTTACACTATTTATGTTGTTCGAACTTTCGGCCGTTGTACGCTCAGGTTTTCTTCAACTGAAAAATTGGAATTTCGAACCGTCATGAATATGAAAATAAAGATGACGACAGCAGTCCGAACAATGTAAATAGTATAAATAATTACAATAGCTCATCTCAGAAATATAGACAGATATAGAAGGCCGGAGCGTACAACGGTCTAAACGTCGTGAATATGGCAACGAAGATGAGGACAACAGTCCGAACAATGTAAATAGTGTAAATAATTACAATACCTCATCTCAGAAATATAGACAGATATAGAGGAAGGCCGGAGCGTAGAACGGTCTAAACGTCTTGAATATGGCAACGAAGATGAGGACAACAGTCCGAACAGTGTAAATAGTGTAAATAATTACAATATCTCATCTCAGAAATATAGACAACTATTCTCATTTACTGATAACTGAAAAACTTTGTTTAAGAAACAGAAAATATAAACAAATAAAATTTTTTTACAAAATAAGTAAATCTTTAAATAATACAATCTTTAGAAATACTCAATTTAGCACAGAAAATTTTTAATAAAACCATTTTTATAATTCTGAAAAAAAACTTGATCCCCTGTTTATTTTGCAGTCGGAAGTGAACTTATATTGTAATGTTTCGTTCATTATTTCTGATTTAATCAGGCAGGCATATTTTCTCCTCTTACTAATCAATAAAAAATTATTATAATCGATACCTAATTTTAGCGATACTGTTAATTACCTAATTATTTGTTCAGTTCTTAAAGATTTCCTCGACGAGTTAGTCGTAATTTAGGACTCAAATAAGCGTCACCAGTTGCAGATATAAGACGTGTAGTTGTAATTCCTTGACTTTAAAGAGCTTTGCAGATTTGAAGACAGGGCCAGTGTTTAAATAGGTGAGGGGTGTCTGATAATTATTTGGACATTAAGATTATTCCACATCCTCGACATGGTAGTGGGTGGGAAATGATTTTCTGGGGAACCAGGCCTTGATTTGGCGACAGACAAAATGCCGACGACATTGAATCATAAAGATGAGTCTTTGAAGATAAATAATTGGGCCTTTTTTTTCATATAACAATTTCATTATTCTATCAAGGCTGAATTTTTTTTTTTTTTTTGGTATTAGGGATCTTATTTATAAGCCAACCTACGTAATATTAAAGAGAAATAAACTTAGTTTATTTTGATAAATTTTTCTCTATTCTATAGAGGGGCCCACAAAAGAAAAACGAAAAAAAAAAAACAGGAAATTTAGTACAGTTTAAGAAATTGTTGGAATTTTCTTTACAGTCATTTGGAATAAAAGCAAACGATAGGAATTTCGTAGCGTGAAACAAAACAAAACCATTAATGTCGGCTATGATTCTAAAGCTAAAGAATTCTGGCAAAATTTCTTGGCATTATTTGAGTCTCTAAGTTGCTCTTTCTTAAAGAGAACAATCATCTCACGTTGAAAAATTTGCTATGTGCGGAATTCTGGAAGAGAAAAAAATGGTTAAAAAATTTATATGTCAGTTAACTTTTTTACTTTATTCATATAGTAAAATATATAGTTATGCTTTTTACATGATATTTTTTTTCATCATATAGTAAATCTAAAATTTCCATTGTTTTGCGGATCACCCTATAAAAACGAATTTGTCGAAAATTTTACTTACAGTGAGTTTCATCCTCTACAAGTAACGATAACCACTCGGAGATAGAGGATTACAGAATAAGTGGCATAGATTATGTTGATAGGTGGGGAAGATAGCGATTAACCATAGACTTCAACAGGATAAGATTATAGTGATCGAGGAAGTATCCTCTTGGGAGTCGGTTCCACAGATCAGTTGATCGCGTGACGAAGCTGTTCCAGTGGAACTTACTTTTAACCAATAGGACCTATCCTATTGGTTAAAAGTAAGTTCCACTGGAACAGCTTCGTTAGAGAGAAAGATGGTGGTTTATTAAAAAGTAAGTGTCATGGCGGGTTAGAACAGACAGAACAAAGGAATGCAGTTCGTCCAAACATTTTCTTTGGAAGTAGCAATAGAGCAGTAAGAGACTTGTCACATCTCGCCTGTGAATGAGAGGTTGAAATTTGCAATATAGCTTCTCACCCAAAAGGACACTTTTGAATATCTAGCCTGGAAAATGAGGACTGGGCAACCCCGATCAAATATGACAACAATACGCTATTTTAGACCTGATCTGGCTCTTGTAGAGGTAGAGATAAAACGAGCAGTCAGGTACTTGCAGGAGCGGCACTAGAAACCGACCATTTTTCCAGAATCTTACGGATTTACGAGTTCCATTTAAGGCCCAGTGGACTTTCAAAATACAGAACGTCCTTGAGAGATATTCTTTCATCGCAAATGGTGGTAGTTCGGGGTTAGGTCGGCAATGGTGGAATGTTATTAGTTTGGTTTTCGCAACATTGTATATAACCTCTCATTTTCCTCCATGTTTTGACCCAAGTAAATGGTTAAAGAAATAACAAAACACGTGTTACAGATATACCATACATTAAACAGTAAGTACAACAGATGAGTTTTACCCGACTAATCGGTTGACCCAGCGTTCAATCTATTCGACTGTTAATATTTAACATCCCCCTAAGAGGTAGATGCGTCATAAGGGCGAGTTTAACGTGGGTCATCCCAGCCCGTGGGCTCGGCCAAAAAATAAACGTAGAATCCGAATAAAGGGGTTCGGGTCTGTCTACCTCCCCAGACGAGACTCCGCCATTTGGTACAGCCTCGTCCGGGTTCGACAGCAGCTGCGAAAAGTCACAGCCTCGGTAGAAAAATTTATTAGACTGTTATATTTACCAGACTTCCCACGAGGTAGGATGTGGTATAAGGTCGAGTTTAATTTGGGGCATCTGAGTCCGTAGGCTCGGCCAAAAATTACCCATAGACCCCGTATAAAAAGGGGTCGGATAGTTTGTTTCCCGAGACGAGACTCTGCCCTTCGACATATCTGGGGATCTTCTCTACTCGGAGGCAGAGAGTTTGACCATCATAGCTGGAACAGATCTATTCGGCTGTTAATATTTAACAGCGACCCCACGAGGGATGTATGTGGCACAAGGCCGAGTTTACCGTGGGTTTCTCCGAGACCGTAGGCTTGACCAAAAATATTCCCTTTGAACCCGCCTTGACGGATTCAAGGACTGTCTACCTCCCCAGACGAAACTTTGCCCAGCGGCAAAGCTTCGACCGAGTTCCTCTCTGCCTAGGCAGAGAGTTTGACAGTAATGAACAATCTACACGAATGTTCCCCTAATGACTTCTGTTCTATTAGGTTGGTGCAAAAATAATGACGTAATAATGACGTTTTTTGACGTATTTTTAACGTCAAAAAATGACATTCTTACGTCATTATTTTTGCACCAACCTAATACTAATCTCATAGTAGGCGCAAGTTTCAACATAGACTCTTTAGATGGAGGACACGACAACTCACTATTGATATCTTAGAAAAATATCGACGAGCAGAACACTGCTACATATAATAATATCCCAATATATTAAGTGAATCAAATGAGAAATAATTAAATCAGACATTTACTTTTGAAAACTTTGAGGGATTTTCAACGAAAACTCGTAATTCCGATGAGATATACTGATTTTCCATTGCGTAGGGAAATATATCTACATCTTGTTGATCCCTGTTTCATAATTTTCTTTGGTCTAAACCACGTTTTATAAAATTGAAGACGTTATTCATCACTTGATACTTGGAATTGTGTATAAAAATAAATTTACATCTTGTTGATCAAGGCTTCATAATTCTCTTTTGTCTAAAACTCGTTTTATAACATTGAACACGTTATTCATCAATTGATACTTGTAATTGTGTATAAAAAAATTTACATATTTTGATCAAGGTTTCATAATTCTCTTTGGTCTAAAACGCGTTTTATAAAATTGAAGACATTGTTAATTACTTGATACTTTGGTTTAAAACAATATTTCTATTGTGGAAATATGAAGAGAACTGAATTTACATCATGTTCATCTGTGGTGGGTTGGTATTTGTTTTTTTGTTTTTTCGTCAGCTATCAGAAGATGGTAATATAACACATAACTAAAGGTGGAAAATTAAGGGTCAATTTTTTATTGATGCACGTGTGTGTGTACTTAGCTCGGAGGTAAGAGGATCAATGACATAATGTTGAGAGAGGGTGACTGCATCTCCTTTTCTTTACGGCTGCTGCAAAACACGAACCGAATCGAATGATTCGTAAGTATCAAGAGAAACATGATCTTGTTTCCGGAAGTTGGGTCACAATTTTTTGCCCGTGACCGGAAGCCCTTTTTTTTGTTTTCCATTTTGCATTATGAAATTATTTTTTTTTATTATGTTTATTATTTATTTTATTCATTATTTAATTTTCATTCTTCCCAAAAATCCCAGCTTCATCATTTTATTTTGTAGGGACAAAGATATTACTCATCAAGTAAATGTTCATAATATAGAAGAGATCTAAATTTACATAACGTAGATACGAATTACATTGTCATATATCGTTTCAATATCATCCCTATTTAAAACAAAAAAATATGGGGTCAGCAACATTTATTATGTATCGTTCCTCACCTATTATCCTGCATTTTCCCACGGTAATTATATGGTAAACTTATAGCGTGTAGTCAAAATCGCACTTAAAAAAGAAAAAAGTGATCCATCCTTGATCGATACAAAAGGATCTGCTCGCATCAGACGCAGCCATTGGCTCAGGTGCGAGATTCGACCATCTTAAAAAAAAAAAAAAAAAAAAAAAATGGCGTGAGCTCCGCTGAATGATAGAAGACATATAATTAATGTTTTTGTTCTAGTATTAAATTACTGCATTAATTAAGGCTTATGTTTTTAATTGGAGCCAATTAATTATCCAAAGGTGTGATACTAGCGTTGGAAACACGCGCACCTATGATAATATACCACAATACCTCTGCAAGTATAGATGTGGATATGTGAATTGGTGTGTGTGGTCATATGTGTTTATTTTTATCTGATCGATTGGACAATCGATCAAATCGTCATTAAATCATTTTTTTTTTGTCTTTTCCGTATCGGATTTCATCCATTTCTTTGTTCTAGAGCTCTGATCTTTTTCTATTATGATCCGCTATTGATTTGATAACCTAGTTTCATTTATTTAACTTACTCGCTAGACTCATCTATCTATCTATCTATCTATCTATCTATCTATCTATCTATCTCTCTCTCTCTCTCTCTATATATATATATATATATATATATATATATATATATATCCTGTTCATATCAATCTGTCTCCTTCTTTTCGTATCTATCAACTTCTGTTCATTTCTAAATACGTATCTCTTTCTGTTCATCTCTCTCTCTCTCTATCTATCTATCTATCTATCTACTTATCTGTCTATCTATCTCCATCTTTTCATATCTATCTAATCATCTATCTCTTTCTGTTCATATCTATCTATCTATCTATCTATCTATCTATCTATCTATCTATTTATCTATCTATCTTTTTTTGTTCATATAAATCCATTTATCTTATTCATCTCTCTCTCTCTCTCTCTATATATATATATATATATATATATATATATATTTATACACACACACACACACAAAATATATATATATATATATATATATATATATATATATATATATATGTCCTGTTCATATCAATCTGCCTCCTTCTTTTCGTCTATCTCCTGTTCATATCTATCTAACTTCTTTTCTCTTTCTGTTCATATCTATCTATCTATCTATTCATATCTATCTATCTATCTATCTATCTATCTATCTATCTATCTCCTTCTGTTTATATCTATCTAATCATCGATCTCTCTCTCTATCTATCTATCTATCTCTCTCTATATATATATATACATATGTGTGTGTGTGTGTACATACACACACACATACATATATATATATATATATATATATATATATATATATATATATATATATATAAATTCGTAGTTGAACATTCTCAACGCCTTCAATGATGCCCTTCCGTCCTGCCATGAAGAAATTTTGATGGATCAACTTCTGATTATTTGGGGATGTTCGTCCCAAGAAATTTTCAGATCTACACTTATATTTCTAAACACTAAAATAAAAAAAATCAAAATCTCTTTTTTAAAAATCCAAAAATAAAATACCACATTCCATTTATAAATTGAGACATGAAAACAAATCCATACCCTGTTCCCTACAAACATAGGCGGATATGCAATATAATTGGCCCTGATCTGGCATCTCGTCCACAGTCACTTTATCACAGACGCGCCGTCGCCTCTCTCTGTCTGTTCTACAAATACTTTCATGGAAATTGCTCCGAGGAGATCCATTCGCTGGTTCCCAGACTTCATGAGTTCAAGCGCCCTACGAGGCTGGCATCCCGCTCTCACCCTTTCACTGCCGAGACTCCTAAATATAGCCGACTCTTCTACTCCAATAGCTTCATGTCTCGCACCTCACGCCTGTGGAACTCCCTTCCCTATTCCAGTTTCCCTGATAGCTATAATCTCCAAATATTCAAATGTAATGTCAATCGACATTTCCATTTGCTTTGATCTATTCACTACCCTTCTCCTCACCCTTTCTTCTATCACTCCTATCTGATCTTGTTCTAAATTTTCTGTAACCCCTAGCGTCCTAGTGGCTTCCCGCCTTGCTTGGGGTGAAAAGCTTAATATATATATATATATATATATATATATATATATATATATATATATATGTATATATGTCAGGACGTAAAACACTAAAAAAAAAACACCCCGTTTTTGTTCTAACAATCCAAAAATATATTTTTGCTTTAAATAGCCTTTAAAGAGTTGATAAGCCGTAAAAATAATTTTTCTGACTACTACAGTTTGCATACATGTATTAGACATGATGTATTGCCCAATCTTCTAGTTTTCTAAATTTTGTTCATTTCTGTTTATTCAAAAGTCTTTCAGGATAGGCTATTTCAGAAGACTTTATAAATTAGTAAGTGTATGGTTTGTTTTGTAATGAAATTACCACTGACAAATTAAAACGAAAAATTCATTAAGCATTAAATGTGAGAATATATATATATATATATATATATATATATATATATATATATATATATATATATACATCACATTGATACATGTATATATATATATTCTCACATTTAATGCTTACTCTCTCTTTTATAAATATATATATATATATATATATATATATATATATATATATATATATAATCGACTCTCCCGTCGACGTATGAGGGTCAAGCAGAACAGTTTCCAGGAAACCGACAGCCCGACACCGGCACATGAGATTTGATTATAGTGGTGAAGGCCTCGCGCAGGACCATCCACACTTTTTTTTTGACATTCCGAATACAGAGACCAGGTGCATCGAGTGCCACAAGGTTCCCAAACGACCCTCCGCAGGTTTTGAATTCAGAGTTGTCCTTCTCCTAAACCAGTTGCCATCCAAGGCTTTAGAACCTAGTCTGTCCTGTTATTTTACCCATAGCTGGAGGGAGAGGAAGAAGATTCATACCTTTCCCAAGGGTATTAGCACGTAAGTGAATGTAATGGAATCGACTGGAATTCGAACTCCGCTCTCCGATTATCCATTACCCATTGTGTCTCAGTTATGTGCAATGCGTGATTCACGCTTAGGCGATCATGTATTTTTCGATACATGAGCGACGAGGCAGATTTTTTCCCGCAGTAGGTTGCTATTTTTTTCTGCGGTAGACCAGTTGCAAACCCGGTCTGACCTGCTATGACATTGAGATCCGAATTGCGCACTGGACGAACGAAAGATGCATTCCAACAAAGTGCTGAGAACCCGACAATTTTCGTTCGAAAGAGTGTTCGATTTCCATCGGATATATGGATACTTTATTCCTAGAAGAAGAGAAAACTGGACGAAACATGTATTTGATTTTACAGAGGGATACTAAAAAATCCGGTGGATAGAGCGAGTCAGCTTTGTCCAATGACAAGAAATAAGAACTCATGAGCAGAATCAGGAAGACACGGCTGAAATTCCTTGGACGAATAATATTCAGGAAGGAGTACTTGGAAAACGTAAAGTTCACAAGTCATATTGAGGGCAAGAGAGATAGGCGAAGACAGCGAGACAAGGTCCTGTTGAACTTGTGCGAATGGATGTCAGAATAGGTGGAGGTTAGGTTAGCAAAATAAAATCTTCTAAGGTCACAGGAGGTAGCAGGTTTTGGATAGGTATGATCGTACATGTCGTGATGGGACGCCGCGGAGAGACGAACAAGTAGAAGAAGAGTAAGAAAAAGAAAACGAAGAGGGTGGAAAAGAAAGAGAAGAAAAAGAATAAGAAAACAAAAGAATGAAAGGGATAAAAAGAAAATGTAAAGAAGAAGAAGAAGAAAGAAAGAAAAGAAGAAGAGGAAGAAAAAGAAAACGTAGAGGGCGAAAAAGAAAGAGAAGAAAAAGAATAAATGTTGTGGTAGGATCCACCTAATTTGCATAGTGGAGTACCGACCATATAAATATGGTTGGTACCGGAAAGAGAGGGAGGAATCAAGAGATTCAACCAGAGACTCTGCTCGACTGCGACTAAGTCAACACATTCTCCAGGAACGGTCTTACCAGGAATATACAAAAGACTATATGTAAATACTGTGTACACTTTCTTGTTTCAATACATTTTGTTCTAAGTACATTTTGTGTTGCATTATTATTCCATGCATTAGTCAAGTTTCAACAATAAGAAAACAAAAGAATGAAAGGCGTTAAAAGAAAATGTAAAAAAGAATAAAAAGAAGAAGAGAAAAAAAGAAAAGAAGAAAAGGAAGAAAAAGATGAAAAAACAAAAGCAGAAAAAAGTACAAGAAGAAAAATAGAAGAAAAAGTTAAAGAAAAATAAAGAAAAAAAGGAAGAAAATGAAAAGAAGAAGAAAAAGAAGGAAGAAGAAAAAGAAAAGAAGAAGGATGAATAAAGAAACAAGGAAGAAAATAAGAAGAAAAAGAGGAAAATAAATGAAGACGTAGAAAAAAAAGAAGAGGAAAAAGAAATGAAGAAGAAGAATTTTATTGCGAAAACATTAACTCCCATAATAAATCTAACATTTACAGAGAGATTATGGTCCCGCGGATCCAAATTGCTTAAAGAAAAACAAAAGAGTCATATTCATAAATGAATATATCATTAAGAAATCATTTTTGTTTATATGATATTACAGTGAGGTTCCCCTTGTACAAGTTCCAGAGGCCACTGGAGGTAACGCGTTACACAGAAAAGGAGGGAAATAAAAAAAAAACAGACTTGATATTATCATAAAAGATAAGACAATAAGGAAATTTATGCTGATTGACATAGCAGTACCATCTGAGAGAACGGAGACCATGAAAATGATCGAGAATTTGTCCAAATACAAGGACCTGGAGATCGAGATTAACAGGATGTGTGGAATGAAGAGTGAGGCTGTACCAATAGTAATCGGAGCTCTGGGCTTCGTGAAAAAAGGAATAGATAATTTTACTAACAGTGTCCCAGGTAACATCAACAAACAAGTTGGCCAGAAGATCACCCTACTAGGAACATTTCATATATTAATAAAAGTGCTATCAATTAAATGACAATTCTCATATAGGGACTAAGGACCGTAGTTTGAACTCGGTTCTACAAGATATAAAGCAGAAAATATAACATAAACAAATAATAATAATAATAATAATAATCGGAACTCAGGACCTCGTGATGAAAGGAATGAACAATTTTACTAACAGTGTCCCAGGCAACATTAATGTACAAGTTGCCCAAAAGATCGCCCTACTAGGAACATCACATATACTAAGAAAGTTGCTATGAATTAAATGATATTTCTCCTATAGAATTTTCATTTATATGTTTTTTTATTTAATGAGGTTCACCTTCTTAAGCTCCTTTTAAAAACTCAGGTTAAGGTTGAACAGAGAGGAGGAAAAAAAAAAAAAAAATTTTTTGATATTATTTAAAAGACAAGACATTAAGTGAGTGTATGCTAATTGACATAGTAGTACCATCTGAGAGAACCAACTCCATTAAAATGATCGCGAAATTATCAAAATACAATATGTGGGGAATTAAAACTGAGACTGTATCAATAATAATCGGAGCTCTGGGCCTCGTGAGAAAAGAAATGGACAATTTTAGTAACAGTGTCCCAGGTAACATAAAAGTTGGTCAGAAGATCGCCATAGTCGGAACTTCCCATATACTAAGAAAAGTGATATCAATCAAGTGACAATTCTTCTAGCCTTAGTGTCATAATTTGAACCTGGCTCTACAGGATAAAAGCAGAAAACATAACATACACAAATAATAATAATAATAATAATAATAATAATAATAATAATAATAATAATAATATTGACATCGGAGAGAAACATCTGCATGAAAATTATCGAGAAATTGTCTAAATACAAGGACCTGGTGATCGAGATTAACAGGACGTGGGGAATGGCGACTATGACTGTACCAATAGTAATCGAAGCTCTGGGAATCGTGAGAAAAGGAATGGACAATTTTAGTAACAGTGTCCCAGGTAACATACAAGTTGGTCAGAATATCGACATAGTCGGAACTTCCCATATACTAAGAAAAGTGATATCAATCAAGTGACAATTCTTCTAGCCTTAGTGTCATAATTTGAACCTGGCTCTACAGGATAAAAGCAGAAAACATATCATACACAAATAATAATAATAATAATATTGACATAATAATAATAATAATAATAATAATAATAACAATAATAATAATAATATTGACATCGGAGAGAAACATCTGCATGAAAATTATCGAGAAATTGACTAAATACAAGGACCTGGTGATCGAGATTAACAGGACGTGGGGAATAGAGACTACCAATAGTAATCGAAGCTCTGGGAATCGTGAGAAACGGAATGGACAATTTTAATAACAGACTCCCAGGTAACATCGACATACAAGTTGGTCAGAAGATAGCCCTATTAGGAACAAACCTATATACTAAGAAAAATGCACGCATTTAAATGACAATTCTATAGCAACAAAGGCTCATAGTTTGGACCGGGCTCTACAGGATACAAAGTAGGAAACATAACATACACAAATAATAATAATAATAGTAATAATGATAATAACAATAATAATTCCTCAGATTTTCTACGCTTTTACTTCATTTCACTATACCTACTGACTTATGTACGTGTTGACTGAACAATATTCAAGTAAAAGCTGTCAACCGCGTAAAATACGATTTCTTCCGCCTCTCATAGTTTTCAGCGACCTTATCCGAACAGCGTTCGTTTACAATTAATTATCAATATATATCAACTGATCTTCCGTGGCATACCACCGACCGACGTGGAAATAACCTTTGTGCCATTTTGAAACGATCAATTTGGAATCGACTTTCAAGAAGGAGGTTCGTAAACCTTGGTGAGATTAATGGACCCGCCGATCTTTCCCTCTTCGGAGGCAGGTAAAATAATGTTTCAAAATTTGGCAATTTTTCACAGATCGGTAGAGACAGTTTGAGAAAGATTTAGAAGAAGGAGATGGAAAGACGTAATAAAAAATGGGTTGGGGGTGGCGGAAGGAAAAGAATGATAGGTGTTTTTCAGTAATGTTTGATTGGATAGGGCGCGAATGAGGTGATGTTATTTCGACGGAGATTTACTGCAAGGATTCATTTGAGCAGTAATAGCTAAAAATAAGTTTTATGATTTAAAATAAACAAATATATATATATATATATATATATATATATATATATATATATATATATATATATATACATAATAGCGTATTTGGGCAACAATCCCTGTTTTATACATATCGTTAAAAACAACTGCTAAGGTACTGCGGTTAAGTTTTAATTTTTTTGTTTTAAAGGATTCTTAAGTTTTTTTTTATTCCATTTTTCTTGTGTTCTTATTGTTTTTCTTTTCTGTACACATAATATGTATGAATTGTCCGAGTGCTTTCGGCTATTCTTTTAGCAGTTATGAAGGATGATTTTATTTTAATTGAATGTATGGGGGTTTTTTTATACATTATATTTATGTGCAGACCTTCTTTGGAAAACAAAATTAGTTTTATGATGTTACCAATATATATATATATATATATATATATATATATATATATATATATATATATATATATATATATATTAAGGCATTAAAAACAAGAAATTTTATATTGTAGGCCGTGATACATTTGAAACAAAAACACACACCAGTCGACCGGTTTCGTTTCCTCTCATCAGAACTGTTAACGGGGAACTAAAATTATGAGGAAAAGAAAAAGAAAAAGTTTGTCATGGATGACATGAATGAGTGGACAGGACAAAAAAAAATTATTATAAAAATTATACCAACCAAGCTGCTAGAAGCGCAGCACAGCAAGTCCAAGCAAACAATCTCTTTGTTTACAAAGAGCAGGTCACCTGGACCTGATGTAAATCGACTCCAACACCTTAAAATTGAATAATGAGTGCGAACGGGCCAAAATGGAAAACCAGTTCACACTGAACTCCATCGCACAAGTGGGATTCTTTATAAAGTGATCCGCAGTCGAAGACCCATACGTGTTACGAATGGTATCGCTCAAAGAAAAATTTCATTCAGTATTATAGCAGATACATGTTTAATTCTAACGTCCAACCGCTGTGTCGTTCTACCTATGTAATCGCATCCACAACTACATTTGAAATGCTAAATAACAGAATTAATATGGTAGAAAAAATATTATGCATTATTTTCCATAGTTTTACTACACGTGTTTCTAGTCTGAATGCCGAAAATCTCATTATAATCCGATGGATAATATTCTAATTTCAATTAGAGGTAAGGAGAACAGATTCTATACACTTATGAATATAGATTCCCGATGGCCAGGGTTTGAAAAAAAGAGTGAGCAGCAATGGCTGCTCGAAAAATGAATGCCGAATGCTTGTTTACAATTAAACGGTTAATATTCTAATTACAATTAGAGATAGACACAACAGATACTATACTTTGATCCATTTCCGATGACCAGAGTTTGAAAAAAAAGCGAGTAGTACTGGTTACTCCGTCAAAGAATCCCTAATGTTACCATATAATGAACCGGCCAATATTCCAATTACAATCAGATATAAGAAGAACAGATAAGGCCTTTTGATCTCAGCAAAATGGACAATGCTGTTTGCTCAATGAATATCGAATGTTGCCATATAAGGCAACATCTTTAATTATGATTATCATTATCATTACCATTTTGAACAGAAGACTCCTAAGCATTCAGAGGAATAAGATGAGTGGAAATTTTATATATAAAATACAATGTATATGTGTGTGTTTGTGCGTGTGTGTGTCCAAGCAATTCCTCGGCTCCCGCTGATCCGATTTCAATGATTCCTAGCTCTTTCAAAAGCTCTAGGAAAGTTAGGCGCAGGGAACGATTATCGTTGAGCTCAGATTCAGGGTCGCCAGATTATGCGAGGTTAAAAAATATATATATATATATATATATATATTAATATATTATACTAGCCATTATCATTGCTTTCCTGGTTCAAGTGGAGTAACTCTTAATTTCGTTTTGTATTCATAATTGCAGTGTACATTTTATTATAAACCAACTTAAAAGCCTCCCTCTGGAGCGGCATTTAAGCTAGCTCCTGTGGAGGACGCATGGTTTGACCATCAACACTATAGCTAGGGAGGAGTTTACCAATAATTATTCTTCTGCCACTTGACTTAAAGACGATTTTCCGTACAAACAATTATTTTTATTTCGTGGGTGACAGAACAGTGAACAATTTATAAGATAAAAATAATATAGTGTAAAGATGGGAAAGTAGAAAATGGAATTAGTTATGCATTCAACATTTGAAGAGCTAGAGAAACATAATGGCTAATTAAGTAAAAACTACATTATGAAAGCTATATGAATGAATGCGAAATTGGAGCTCAATTTTCCCTCGAATTCTGGAGTTAAAAAAGATCTAAATCTACGTTATTGTAATTTACACGGTAAAACCTCAATATCTGCATTATATACTATCTACTTCTAGGTATTATAACTCATCAGGTTTACCTAATTTGCATATTGATTTTAAAAATATATATTTAATTAATTAACTATTCTTCGTTTATGTTCTTTTATTCAAGGATTGTTCTAAGTTTCATATAAAAAAAATTTTCTGTTCAAAAATTTTGTCTTATGCATCGCAGAAAAGTGTTTGGAATTAGTATTTTACTTGGCCTTCAACAAGTTGGCATCTATTTGTAAAACTTTCCTTAATTATAACAAACCAATTTCTAAATGAAATGTTCATTTAAAATGTTTGTTTCAAAGATTTCAAGTAATGAATATATAGTATTTATATTATTCGGACTATTGTCCTCATCTTTGTCGCCATAATTATTACAACGTTTCGGCAGTTGTATGCTCCGGCCTTCTTCAGGTGGTTCGAACTGAACCCTTTATTTCGCTTACTGGGTCTAAACTGTTCTAGTTTGTGATAAATATGGCGACAAAGATGAGGACAATAATCCGAATAATGTAAATAGTTTACATAATACCTCATCTCAGAAATATAGACAGATACTGAAATATGGTGACAAAGATGAAGACAATAGTCCGAGTAATGTAAATAGTGTACATAATACCTCATCTCAGAAATATAGACAGTCTCTAATGAATATATCTTATTTTTTGAAGCGATAGTGAGCGGGCGAAGCCTGCTATTACTTTATAGTTAGACACCTCGAGGGAAACTCTTTTCTTATTAAACGCCTGGTCAGGTAAAGAGAGACGATGTCTGTATATTTAAAGCCTGAATAGTTAAAAACGATTTTTCTGCTTTGTCTCTTTTTTCTTTTTCTTTTTTTTAGTTCTGCTCTGTCGAATTTGCCAGACGTTTAAAGTAATATCTTGTTCTTTTTTATGATTGGCGTTGTTATTTTAAATAACCTTGGATATTTTCCATATTGAAAAATGAAGTCATTGTATTGCATTGCCAAATGCAAAGCCAAAATTAAAATAATGTTCTATCTGCACTTTTTGTAGGTTTTCAGATATTTGACTTCAAGGTTTGCCTAACCGTAACATCTTCATGAATCGACTGAAATATTGATTTTGCATAAACTCCGGATTAAAAAAGGATTTTTATAAAAATATTTCTAAATGGTCATTGTTATATACCGTAGAAATTAATACTAATGGGTATGCCCCAATCCACATAAATACGTTGGACACTATTGTCAGTGGAGTTACTATACTGTATAAGTAGTCGAACACTAGCAGTGGTTTACCGACTTCACGCCGCTGGCGAGTATTGTATTTTGTTGATGTTATAAAGATTATCATTTCATTTCCAACATCCGTTTTGGCTGTTCCTTATTCAGTAACCTTTTCTAGGTGACAAGAATCTATCTCCTTAATAAGGATTTTTCCTGTTCTTTTATTTGTCTTTGTTATATTCCGTATTTATGGCATTAATTGGTATGTCAAAATCCTAATAAATACGTTGGACACTATTGCAAGTGGTGGTAATATGCTGTATAAGTAGTCCAACACTAGGAGTGGTTTACCTATTTCCCACCGCTGGCGAGTATTGTATTGTGTCGATGTTATAAAGAGTACCATTTCATTTTCAACTTCCGTTTTAGTTATTCATCATACAGCAACGTTTCTAGGTGACAAAATTATTTGACCTTTGTCCCATAATTATTGTTCCATTTAGTCTATGAAATGTGTATGCAAATGGAAGAAGAATTTTGGGACAGAGAGGATCAAATGTTTCCTCTTTTTCAATTTTATCTATTAAAGTAACGATTCTTCGATATCATTTGTCATATACGGTACTTATGAATAATAATGGGTATGTCCCAATCTCTCATAAATACGTTGGACACTGTTGTAAAAAATGGAGCTAATAAACTTAAGAAGTCCACCACTATCAGTGGTTTACCTATTTCACGCCGCTGGCGAGTATTTTATTTTGTTGATGTTATAAAGATTACCATTCCATTTCTAACCTCCGTTTTGGTTATTCCTCATTCATTAAACCTTTCTAGGTTCCAACAGTCTCTCTCCTTCATAAGGATTTTTCCTCTTCTTTTATTGGTCTTTGTTATATTCCGTACCTATGAACACTAACGGATATGTCCCAATCCTCATAAATACGTTGGACATTATTTTAATTGGGGCTAATATTCTGTATAAGTAGTCCACCACTAGCTGCGGTTTACCTACTTCACGCCGCTGGCGAGTATTGCATTTTGTTGATGTTATAAAGATTACCATTTCATTTCCAACCTCCGTTTTGGTTATTCCTCATTCAGTAACCATTTTATAGGTTATAACATTTATATAGGAAGAGAAAACATGCCACAGGTTATAACTAAAAATAAAACGAAAATTTCATGTTAAAATCCTTTTGCCATCAACGTAATATCTATGTAATTGTTCAGTCAGAAAGTTTGGCTAACCATAAATATTTCATAAACTAACAGAATCATATTTATATACTTGTTATTAATGATTAAGAGTGATCTCCCCATTTTTGTTATTCTTCACTTTGAGAGAGCTATTTCTCTTTACTGGAACTATAAAAGGATACTACGCGATCAATTGTGTCCTCAGTTGAATAAAACTTTCTTAAAGTCTACACCTGCGTACTCTTGTCATGAAAATACTCTTGGGATGAAAATAAATATTTCTACAGAACGTAAGCTATCATTTTGGGCTTTGAAGAGAAGATATGCCACGGGTCATTACTAGAAAAAAAAGGATAATTGCAGATGGAACATTTTTAATCTCATGTAACGAATTTACAGAGAACCAGATGTGTTAAACTTTAAAAAGTAGGCCATATTTATCTTGGATAATGCCGTAATACTTTTTGGATCATTGTACTCCCGAAAATACTCATGTTTTTCTTTCCAGTGGCTCAGTATCCATTGTTCGTTGTGCAATAAATTAAGTCAAGGCAAGTCTAGCACAAAACCAAAAAGAAAAAAGATATCACATTGACATCTAAAATGATGGTAATTGTACTGATAACTATTTAATATACACCGCCCATTATACCAAACATGAATTAATTCTTGTGTTGGGATTAGACAATGTGACATCAACAGTTCTTGCGGAATTATTTCTTACAAATATCTGATTTCCCCAAACATGTTACATTCAACAATACTCAGAATTATTGATCTTTTCGACCTTTAAATGCTTAGGATAATACGTTTGTAAACCAAAATAATATTATCTGAACAGAATCACTGGAAATTCCATATTTATGCTAATGTTGGTTAAATTAAGGGGGGCATTCTGAAAAAAACAAAGAAACTTTATAAAACCAAGAGAATCTATGAGGAGAAAGAATCCATTTTCGAATACCTAGATCTTTAGATTTTCCCCTAAATGGATTTAGCTCCGGATTGAGGAATCAAAGGAATTCAGTCGATTCCATTACATTCCTGTGCTAATAATTATCATCTTCTAGATTTTCCTGAGGTTATATTAACCGGAGAGCCGAGTTCGAATTGGATTAATTCAATTTGGGGTTTGGGAAATTTACAACCCGGAGGATTTATGCTAATGTTCGGTTCAAGGAATTACGTGGGCATGGAGAGAAAAGAAAATATTTACATTGAATTTCCAATTCCAGATCCATATGTTTTATAAAATAGTTAAAGATTTATCAAATCCTCTTTTACGGAGTTTAATTCGGATAAAAACCAAGAGTTCAATTCGCTCGAATCCATTACATTCTTATTATAAATAACGGATTGAGGAAAAGAGAGCCTCTTCTATTTTTTCCCGAGGATAATGGATAGCAGCTCGGATTGAGGAATCAGAATCCATTACATTCATTACATTCACTTACTTTACGTGCTAAAGGTACCAATCATCTTCCTTAAATGGATGATAGGATTGAATCATCGAATTTAGTCGAATTTTTTCCCTTGAGGATTTTATGCCTTTTATCTCAGTTTCCCGGAGGATAAATTGATAGCGGCTCGATTGAGGAATCGTTAGATTCAGTTCAATTCATTTCAGATACTATTACATTCACTTACGTGCTAATAACCCTTAAAGGTATTTTCCCGGAGGAGTAATGGATTTGGGCTAAAAACAAATCGGAGACAATTTCGAATTCAGTCGAATCCAGTACATTCAGAACGTTATTTTTGGAAAGGTAAATCCTCTTCTAATTTTCCGGAGGAATAATGGATAGCGGCTCGGATTGAGGAAAGAATGCGAACGAATTCCAGTTTTTTCCATTACATTCACTTTACATTTTTACCCGGGAAAGGTATGAATCCTCTTGCTTTTTCCGGAGTAATGGATAGCAGCTCGGATTGAGTTCGAATTTCAGTCGATTCCAGTCGAATCCTTTCAGGATTAATCATCTTCTCCATTTTTCCGGAGGTGTAATGGATGTAGGCTAGGATTGAGGAATCGTGAATTCAAGTAATATTACACACTTGGGAAAACCTTGGGAAAGGTATGAATCCTCTTCTATTTCCCTAGGATAAATTAGCGTTTTTGAGGAATCGTAGAGGAGTTCAATTCAGTCGATTCCATTACATTCCTTACGTGCTAATAACCTTGATTTTGGCTCGATTTTTTTTTATTAATAATGGATAGAGAAATATATTGAGAATCGAGAGCCGTGTTCGAATTCAAGTCGAATCCATTACATTCACTTACGTGCTAATAACCTTTTTAATGAATCCTCTTCTAGATTTTCCCGGAAGGAGTAATGGATAGCGACTCGGATTGAGGAATCGGAGGATGCCGAGTTCAATTCCAGTCGAATCCATTACATTCACTTACGTGCTGATACCCTTGGGAAAGGTTTAATCCTCTTCTAGATTTTACCGGAGGAGTAATGGATAGTTTATTGAGGAATCGGATTCGGAATTCCAGTCGAATCGTTTTAGGGAAAGGTATGAATCCTCTTCTAAATTTTCCCTGGAAGTTCTAGTCGATTGCACAATCCCGAGTTAATATTCATTACATTCACTTCTGATTCAAAAATATGAATCATCTTCTAGATTTTCCCGGAGGTGTTGGAAAAGAAAATAATGAGCCGAGTTCGTTTCCAGTCGATTCCAACAGTAATAACTTCTCATCTTCTAGATTTTCCCGAGGTGTAAGGAAACTTTGAGGAATCGAAATACCAATCGTTCAAATGTAAAATGGATAGCAGGACAGTTCGAATTCATATATCCATTTTTCAAAAAAAAAATACCACATTCTTTTTTTTGTTGAGGCATCTAAAACAATGAAGAAAATAGGTGAATGGATAGCAGCTTTTTGAGTCTAGTTTTTTTCAATCCATTACTGTTCCCTGGTGCTAACGGAAAGATTTTTCATCTTCTAGATTTTCCCGGAGGTATAATGGATTGAGGCTTTGAGGAATCGGAAGCCGAGTTTGGAATTCCATCCTAATCCATTACATTCACTATACGTGCTAATACCTTGGGAAAGGTATTTGAATTTTTTCTAGATTTTCCCTGAGGGTAATGGATACATATTTTGAGGAATCTTTTCAGTCGAATGCTCAAACAAGAAAAATCTTCTACTCAGAATGTCGGAATCGGAGAGCCAAACCAATTCCATTCCTACATTCAGATATAATCTAATACCCTTTGAAAGTAGAATCCTCTTCTAGATTTTCCCGGAGGAGATTTACTTTTTGGAGTTTTCCCCAGTCGATCCATACTTCACTTCGTGCTAATACCCGCGACTTGGGAAAGGTATATATCCTCTTCGATTTTCATAGCGC